GGTTAACAGCCTGTGTTCAGCACTCTTTCTGGTTTTAATCCTACTGGGCTAGATCCTGTCTCCCCTTTGAAGTCACAGGGCTGCCAGGCAGGGAGGGTCCTATGCAGCAGCCTGTGTCCATTCAAGCTTTAACCAAAGGGATGATGAAACCTGCCAACAGCCAAGTCAAATGGGAGGACAAAGATGTGGCGGGGCTGTGGCTTGGTTTGCTTTCGAAGAACAGCACTTAACATTTGTGACCTCTCTTGTGGAAGTGGGTCTGTGAAAACTCCCCTCAGTTGCTTCTTACTCCCCGAATGTGGGTGTGAGAGAGGCTTTCTTTATTCATTTGTTTCCTTTTCCTGAGCTCTACTTCATTCTAGGTGTTCCACAGCCTTTGTTGAGTGAGAATCATTTGGGGGCATAGTTTGGGTTGCTGTGTCTTTTCAAAATGTGGACAGTATTTCACCCCTTTTGAAATGTTTATCCTGAAGCTTCCTTATTTTCAAAGTTTTTCCCTTCTAATGAGCAAAAGCTACTGAGGGTTTGCTTGCAATATTCTGAATTATATTCCCTTTCTCATTTCTGTGCAATATTAACTGTGAGAAGAATTTTAAGATGCAAAGAAAGAAGGCGTGCCTCCCATATCTCTAGCATTTCTAAGGGTTTTTTCCTTCCTAAATCGATCTCAATTAACTTTGATTTCTTTCTTTAGAAAACCATGTGCTGAAATAATGCTTTGCCAGATGTGAGAATGGATTCCTTCCCCTACAAACACACACTTAAGCTTCATTTGAGTTCTAATATTTTGGTATTTTTTTTTTCTTATTCAATCTTACGCTACATTATGTGGCTGTTGACTTTGTTTGCAAGAGTATCTTACTTTATCTTGGAGAGATACTAATACTTTAAAGTTATTGCTTGTTTGTTGTTGCAGCTGTTTTCTTTTTAGTTTGTAATTTTAAATGTAGCCTGTTTCTTATATATATAACCTGTTTTTGCCAATTTCTGGTATAAATCACACATTCGTTCATGTTTCTCATCATGGGTGAGCCAAAGCTAACATTACATAGTGTGTTATTCCCCTGTGTGCTTTGGTTGAGGCTCAGGCCCAGGAAGGAGAGAGGCAGCAGCCATCAGCTCTGTTTCCTGTTCTGAGCCTGTAAAACACACTACCCAGAGCCACCATGGGAAGGGAGTATCTGTTTTGCAAAAATTTTTTAAGATCTAATTTTTGTCTGAATTAGCATGACTACACTAAGTCTATGGTGCTGACTTTACTTTGAAACCCACATCTATGTATTTAGACTCCTTGAGTTGGCCACTCAATTGTGACTGGAAGAGAAAGCCATGAATTTCAGGTCCCCTAACATCTGGGATGCCGTTTCTGTACTCTCAACCTCTGTGTCACTGTCTCGTATTATTTTTGATTGTTGGTAAGTTTGATTTTGCTGTCTATTCAAGATGATTTTTTTTCCATCGTGCCTGATTCTGGTTCTCTGTCTGGCATAACTGACTTTTTGGTACATTTTGCGTTACTCTTTGAACACCAGGCTTCGTCTTTCCCAGGGTGTCACAGAGCTGTAATTCTGCAGGTTCTAATGGAGTCCAGGACAGGCACTTTTGCATATGCATAGACAGACAGCTGACCACCACTTTAAGAGACAGAGGTTCAAGTTTCTTTTGATTCTTTCTCCTTGCTGATTCTCAGTGCAGTGCCTCTAGCAAAGAAGTGTGTGCACTTGGGAAGCTAAGGAGAAAACTTGGTCCTGGGGCAGGTGGAGGATCGAGCGACAGAGTAGATGTGGGGTTGGGGTGATTGTTTCCTAAAGATTCTGATCCTTCTGGGTGGGGAGGGAGCTCTGCATCTCAGAAGGGCTGCTTCTAGGATGAGATCACTGATGGGAAGCACCTTATTTATTTAAAGGCCAATTCAAAGAAGGGGAGGAGGGTGCTAATTTAAACACATGTCCGAAATGAAAAAAAAAAAA